TGTTGCGGTCGTACGGCTTGTACCCAAAGAAGTGGGCGACGCTGTTGACACACCACGTCATGTGAAGGAGCCACACGTGGCGGAAGACGCCGCCGATCCAAAAGCCTTGCCACGCCGAGTCAAAGCAGACGTAGCCCACGACGGTGGGGAATCCGTAGCACATGCTGAGCGCAATGAGTTGGTAGTGTCGCTTCTGGAACTGGACGATCGGGTCCGTTTCGAGGTCGGTGTTGTTGATCTTTTTGCTTTCCTTGAACACGTCGGGATGTTTGCGCATGAGCAGCCACCCCATGTGGGCAAAGAAGAAGCCCCGGTTCGAGTTGTGCGGGTCTGCGGTCGTGTCCGATCCTTTGTGGTGCACGCGGTGGTCTCGAGACCACTCGAAGATGCTGTTTTGGTACGCCATGCTGCTCAAGAGCATGAGGAAAACCTGGAGCGGCAACTTGGCCTTGTACGACCGGTGCGACCACAACCGGTGCGAGCCCGCCGTCACACCCAGCGCCGACCAGAACCAAAAGCTCACCCACAGCACGAGAATCGCCCCCCACGACGCCTCGGGCATCACGTAGAACGCGCCGTACGCTGCTCCCACGTGCCATGCTGTCATCACGACCACGTTCCCCCACACGACGTCGCTCCACGAAAAAGTCGGTGTCGGCGACCCTCGGATGGCCGAATACGGCGGCGGGGACCGCGCGGCGGGCGACGGTGTCGCCGGTGCAGTGGTCGTACTTCGTTGCGGAGCCATCGCGTGCGGATTTTGAAGTGACCACCGACGTCACTGGCGTTCGTGTCATTAATTCCCACGGCGTCAAAACCCATGGCGACCCAACGTGTCCGTGCCCAAACGGCCTTTAAACGTGCGTTTTAGTCGGGCAAACTGCCGCGTGGATTGAGTTTAACGTGCGTGCAATTCCACCCTTGAGTTTAACGTTCGTGAAATTCCACTCATCACCCCATCACGTCGATGACACGACGGGTTGTTGCGGTGGTCTGTCTCGCGAGAATAGCATGGCGATGCCACAGACGGCACGATCGCGACCGGGCAATTTGCACCCTCCACATGCCGCCCTCGCACCGCCCAAGCGCACGTCATGGATAGCTTGAAGCAGCGTGGTCGATCGGGTCGGTCACACACACGAGCATGGCGCGCCACACACCCATCGTCCCCCAACTGGTATATGCAGTCCCGACGAGTGAGACCGAGCGGCGTCGGCACGTAGCGACATCGCTCGCCCGTCCCCCATCGTTCGTTCCCCAACATGGTAACTTCATGTGCACGTGGCTTTGGCCCTGTATCGCCTCGACACGTGGTTCAGTTGAAGTGTCGAGAATGTGGCGACGACGACCTGCGATCGCTCGTGACGGCCTCGCACAAAGTTGTTGCACGTGCTTGATTCCATGAAAGCGTGACGACGAGGTGGATTCGCGCGTGTGGCGGGGGGGGGGACGCTCTGCAACGGCGTCGGCGTCGTTCCAGATGCCACTGGCGTTTTTTCCGAGGTGCTCTTGGCACACATGCCGATCCCGCGCCGTTTGCATGTCGCTGCCGTGCTATTGACACGTCTGTCGCGAATGCTGCGTGTTCGCCATGGCAAGCATCGCTCGGTAATTTTACAAAGGAAGGGAATGGGGCGGAGCGGGGGGCTGTGCCTCGCGGAAAGAAGGCAATGATGCGTCATGACGCCCAGTTCACATGTATCCAACACTTTAGGGGCCAGTGATAGCGAGCGCACGGCCCAACTGCTTCCTTGCGACGACTTCGCCCTCTGCTGAAGCACGAAGGACGGGCTCGGGAATGCAAGGGGATGTGGCCCCAAGCACGTCGTGCTAGCACGAACTCTTCCAAGCGATGAATCTCAGGTTATCTTAGACATTCTAGACTGCGCCCCTCGCATCTTCTGCGCACAACGTCCCCGAGATGCATGCGCACGCTTCGTCTTCGACTTGAATCGTTGTAAAGTCCAGGCCGTGGTACCGGCGTTGCAAGTCACGCGAGATTGCAGCGACGACGGCGCCGCCGTCTCCAGGGACATTGCCCGCTACTGGAGCGCGCACGACGACGTGGACGCAGAGTGCATACGTAGACGACCCAATCGACCACACGCGGAGGTCGTGAGTGCTTTGGACCGGCTGGAGCGAGTGCAGGAACGCGTCGACTTCGTTCGGATCCATGTGACTCGGCGACGCTTCCATGATGATGCTGATGGACGTCCGCAAGATGCCAAATGTGGTGCAGACAACGATCCCGCCAAAGACGCATGTGAGGATGGGGTCGACGACGTGCCAGGACGGGCGCCACCAGATAACGGCGCCGGCCACCAACACGCCGATGTTTTGAAGAAAGTCGCCGAGGATGTGGATGTAGGCGGCTCGAAGGTTTAAGTTGTCGACTCCATCATGGTCGGGGGCATCCGCGCACGCTTGATATTGCACTTGGGGAGTCCCTAGCTCGTTCGGCAAGTCTTTCACGTCGCTCGACGTGGTGCCGTGCTTGTGATGTTCAATGGAGGCGCGGCAGTCCCCGTTGTCGTCAGGCAGAACGGGGCTGGCGCTGTGCCGCCCGTGGTCCCATCGAGCATGAGAATGGCAATGGCTGCGCCCGTGGTCACCGTCCCCATGGCAGTGACCTGCACCGCCGTGGCAATGGCCGTGCTTGGCATCTCCATGGCCATGCCCCCCGTGCGAATGGCCGTGGTGTTCGTGCCCCAGGATAAACAACATAGCGACATTTGCAGTCAGAGCAATGGCAGCAACCACAAACATGAGCTTGCCGTCGACTGCTTCGTTGTCCATTGCGTCTGGAGTCGCCAGAACATGGTGCATGCGCCGAACGGCACTGTAAACCAAGCACCCGGTGACGACCCAAAGAAACACGATGCTTGCAAGGGCGCCTACGACTTCAGCTCGCTTGTATCCAAATGGCATCGTGGCCTAGACAAGTCCGTCGTGATGCCACGTACGAACAACGACGCTGGTAGTACCGTTCGTGGACATCGCACCAGGCGAACAGCGACGAGCGAAACGACAAGGCCCAGGACGTCGGTGCCCATATGCGCGGCGTCCGACATGATCGCCAGGCTGTCAGCGACGTACCCGCCGACGAACTCGGCCAACATCACCATGACCGCGACGGCACACGTCGCCAAGAGCCGCGATTGCGCCGACGCCTCGGTGCATGACGACGCTGCCATGACACGCTTCAAACGAAAAGTGACCTGACTCGGGTCGACCGTGTTGTCGGTCTGTCGCGCCGTTTCAAAGTGCAATGTCGAGTTTGCACTTTGGCATGGAGCCATTCTCCAACTTCAACCAGAACCGCATGCACCCTCCAAGGGACGAACGTGGCGATGTGGACGGCTGGAGTCATCGTGCGCCTTCCGCCCACACGTGTGCCCACCCCCCACGTAAGGGGGCTTCTCTCCTACACGCTTTGATCATAGTCGACCCATTGTACTGCAAAAGAACCATATACCGTCATGAACACAGGCATGGCACGATCAGGTTGCGTCTCCGTCATTTGCAGAGGACGGCACGTTCTCGCCGCGGTCGACGGCGATGGGCTGAAGCCGTACGGTCGGGCTGGCAAGCTCATGCGGTTGAAACACGTGCGAGGGATGGCTCGGCTTGCCGTCTTGCCGACCGACAGGTCGACGATCCCGGACACGTCAAGATCGTGCAGCGTGGAAACGCCACAAGCGCGCCGCTTGGCAGCAACTCTGGCTGGAGTCGAGCACTCTACCCCGCCACCTTGTTCATGTTGCATGCGTTCGGCTCAGCGCGCGTCCCGACGTCCCCCGTCCACTTCCCCCGCTCCGTCCCTTCCCTTCCCATCACTTCGGCACATCGTCTCTGCTGGTACGCCACAGAGGTACAGCAATGTGGTAGCTCCTAGAACAGTGCTCGGTTCGATTTGAGTCGTACATCGCCCACCCGAGGCAGGACACGGTGGATCCGTCCCCACCGCTTACACCTCGCCATGGGAGCCGTCAAGTTCCAATCTTCACTGTCGGCAAGGTGCACGGCCATCCGTTTGCTGTCAATTGGAATTGCGGCAAAGCCAAGGCCGTGGACCGTGTGTGTGCATGTGATGTTCGCGACCAACGTGTGGCTGCCCTGCGCAGCCAACACCATGACGATGTGGACGCTGAGGGCATGGAGGACGCAACCGGCCACATGCAGAGGTCGTTTGCGTGCTCTGGACATGCTTGAGCGAGTGCAGGAACGAGTCGACTTCGTTCGGATCCATGTGACCCGGCGACGCTTCCATGATGATGCCGTGCATGGAAGCATGGGGTCGATATCGTGCCATGACGGCGGCACCGGCCGCCAACACGCCGAAGGTGTTTGCAGAAAGGCACCGAGGCAGTTCGCGGCTCGGAGGCCCAGGTTTCGACCTTATCGTGCAGTCGCCCCCCGCTGAATATCCAGTTGAGAGGAGGCCGAGTCGTCGCCACCGCCGTTGGGAACCCCAGTGTGTTCAAGATCATCTTCGCGCGGCGCGTGCGCATGGCTGCATTCGAGGGGCGGAGATCGTGGTTAGAGTGCCTGTGGCTGCGCCCGCCAAGGCTATGGGCGTGGAGTTCGTGCCCCAGGATGAACAGCATTAGAACGAGTGCAGCCAAAACTAGCAGGCATCAACATGCAAACGACCTCTTCGTCGGCTGCAACTCGAGTCGTCGTCAAGACGTGATGAAGGCGCACGACGGCACCGTCGTGCAAGCTCCCGGGGAGGGGGATTCAGAGGGACGCTATGGTTCTCGACACGCCCACAACTTCAACGCGATGGTGCATCCGTAGTGGCCGATTCGACAGCATTCAATAGCATGGGGCGACTAGGAAGGAGGCTAGTTATCATGCGGGGGCGCTGCGACAGTCAAATCGGAACGAGGGAGACAACAAAACCCAGTACATCCGTGGCCAAGTGCATGGCGTCGACCATGACGGCTGTCAACGACGTACCCTCCCACACACTCGGCCAGCATGATAGCCCGCATCACAACATACGTTGGCATCAGCCGCGTTTGCGCAATGCCTTGGACACCGCATCCCTTGAGCACGAAATGAGGAAGAAGGCACGATTGCTTCCTGGCGAGATGCCGTCACGCCCATGGCGGTGCCGATCTCGCGAGTTCAACCCAACGACCGTTCAAAATAGGAAGCACCAACGAATTGTCCACAACGTATATTGGACTATTTCGTTTCGTTCGTGTCATTTTCCACACAATACTAGTACTACTCTGTCCCACTAATATTGCTCCAAAGTCGGCACTCCAAAAATGAACCTACATTACAAGAATGTATAGAACATTGATATATCATTTTAAAAGGAAAGCAAGAGGTATCCAATGAACGCTGTAGCGGAGGAATATTCCACCAATCCAAAGAGATAGGAGAGGACAAAAGACCTATACTCAATCTCATAAAAAATATCCAGGTCCGGATATTGAAATACATTATCCGAATACAAGTAAAAGAGCAATAAATACACAAAAATCCTTGAACTCAGCCATTTTTACTCCGTTTTGCCTTAATTTTAGCTCACAATCACCGCGCTGATTGGCCGCATTGTTTACAACCTTTCGCGCGCGAAAGGTTTGATTCCTGACTGAGTTACGCGCGAAAAAACACTTTTCGCCTTGCAATGTGCGGTGAACGCAAACCCAACCTTTCAAACATTGACCGTCAAGCCATAGTACACAGACTCCTACCGCTCCTTATCAATGGTAAGCTTCCTCGTGGGGCCATCGTCAAGGTTGCAGAAGCATTTGGTGTTGCCCGAAGCACAGTTCGACGTGTGTGGCTCCGGGCTTCGGCTGGAGTTGACGACAAGCATCAGTACTGTGGTAACACGAATTCAAGGTTAAAAGGGAATGCTGGACGAAAGAAGTTGCACACCAACCTTACCGAACGCCTCAGAGCTGTACCCAAGATTCGCCGGACGACCTTTCGTTCAATTGTCATGGCTCTTAACATTCCTCGCGCTACCTTCCACCGCTACTACAAGGCGGGTGCATTTGTGAAGTACTCGAGTGTGGTGAAGCCCGCTCTTACCCAAGCAAACAAGGCAGCGCGACTGAAGTGGGCTCTTGACTCCGTCAAGGCCGATGGTTGTGGGGGGTACTCGTTCGACGACATGATGAATGTTGTCCATATCGACGAGAAGTGGTTTTTTGCCACACGTGTGAAGAAAACGTTCTACCTAGCTCCTGGTGAGCACCC